GGTGGCAGATAATTGAAGTATTCCTGTTCACAGACAAACCAGAGTGCTCCAAGGGAGCTTTGATGGGCATGTGTGTGTGTGTGTGTCTGTATGTGTGTGTGTCTGTGTGTGTTCGTGTCTCTGTCCGTCTCTGTGTGTGTGTCTCTCTCTGTCCCTGTCTGTGTGTGTGCCTCTGTATGTGTGTGTGTGTGTGTCTGTGTGTGTGTCTTTCTCTCTCTGTCCCTGTGTGTGTGTGTGTGTGTGTGTGTGTGTGTGTGTGTGTGTAGGTGTCTGTGTGTGTGTGTTCAATTGGCTGTCTACAGGCTCAGTCACAATCCCGCTCCCTCTGTGTTGCTATCGTTTTACATGCTCCTGCCTTTAAGTCCATTCTCACAGGGCTGGCCAAATGAAGTCCATTCATTCACATGATGATTGCCATCAGAGTGATGTGACATTGTGTATTCAAACATGTAGTGGATTGAAGGAATGTCTCTTTAGTAGAAATTGGAGAGGGGGGAGGGAAGGCAGTGAGGGGAAGAAGGTAATGTGGTGAGGGGAAGAGACACACTGATATGCAGCGAATGCATCAGGTGAAGCATACTCTGATCTTACTTCCAGCAATCAGTCAGGGAGCCCTTGGCCATTATTTACTCTGGAGTTCAGAATTCACACTGAGAGTCCCTCAGAGTGTAACTTCACATTGTACAATTGCTTCACAATGTAAGGCAGCACGGGAACCAAAACTAATAATGCATTCTGCCTTTAGCTGATGTTTTTCAGTTCAGTCCTTCCCTTTCTCATTAATATGTGTGAGCCATCCATCACATTTGTGTAATGATGCTCTCATTTCCAGATAATACAATAATGAGGACTGGCCTCCTGCAGTGGGATATTTTTTATGTTTCTGTTTTTGTGCTGCAGGAATAGTTGCTTTCTTTTTTGTCTGCTTCTCTTTTTGCAGGCTATGATTTGTGAGATTATATTTTATAAATTGTTGTTTTTCTTTGTTAACCTCATACCAAATAATAGGTGTAAAAAATTAAAATGTGAACATTTTTAACCCAACTTGATCGATAGATTGTATAGGAGATCTACTCTTCCTCTTGTCCAGCCCCAACTTTCACCCTGAAGGATACAAGGATATCTTTCTATAACTGCTCTGCACAAGTCAAAAGGGCCAAATTTCTCAGTGCATTATCTTTTGCTCAATGGGTGACAGATTCAAGGAGGACTCCTGTACAGAATTTATTTGTTTTTATTAAAGGGATTGACACAGGAACCACATGGAGATTCATAATCAGAGTGCCAAAAGGAACTTCAACGTCTCTTGGCTTACTAACAGCACTATTGGAAACACTTGAACATTTGTGCCCCAAAGCCATCTATTAGCGATCCTCCTGCCTCAGTGTCTTAGATGCATGGATGGATTGTGCTTTGTGCCATTTAGGAAGCATGAGTGTGCCACCAGCTGGCAGTGAACTGATACTGCACCGACGGACTCCATGCTAAAAAGCTTCTTGTTTGGCTGCAGAGTCTACTGGCGACATCTCACCAGTGAGATGTTCTCTTGAATTTTTTTTTGTTTTAAAAACTCAAATTTTAAGAAGAAGTTGCTTTTAGAATAAAAAGATTGAAACATTATCGCCCAGCTTGAGGAGGTGGGGTGAAGTCGTGCGAATATTTTCAAGGGCTGACTCCCACACTCCAATGGAGGTCGCAGTGAAATTTGCTATTTTCAGGGTAGTCAAGGGAGGAGAGTATTTATTACATTGGTTAATATTTCATATAACATCATTGAAGGGACAGGACACTGCAATCTGACAAGGACACACACACACACACACACATTCCTAGTGTACAAACACACTCATGTTTACTTTCATCGATGAATGGGGGAAACACCTATCTTTGAGCCAGAAAGAGTAAGGTTCAAAAAAATTCCGTCACTCCAGACAGTCTTGACTTTGAGCTGTGAATTGTTAACACCCATTGCCAGTGGGTGTGGAAGGTGTGGTTATCATCCCACTGCACAGGGCCTTTGCAGCTCCTGAAGGCGGCTGCTAGCTTCAACATTTGGATGGTGCAAATTTTCCCTCAGATCCATCTTCTCAGCATTCACTCCCTGAAAAAGCACAAGCATACTGGAGCGAAATCACTAAAACTGAACGAGTAACCCCTCTAAGACAGTGTGTATTCTTTGTTCTTTAATTCTTCACTCAGGAGACACTGGGGAGAGAGACAGAGAGACAGAGCAACTGCAGCTCGATTTGAAGAGTTTCTAACTCAGGAGGATGAGTTCAGTCTCCCAGCAGCTGAGATTTACCCAGCAGTCAGATTTCCAGACATTGCATGAGTTGTTCAGGAAAGGCCATAGCCAGCATTAGTCACACTTCTGGTCCTCAGGCTGTGGACACTTCCCTTCGGAATCAGGAAACCAGGCAGTATAGGAGGATGCCATTCTGCCTGTACTGATTCTTTGTGCAGTCTATAAGATAAAAACCCACTCCCCCTTATCATTCCTAAAACTCTGATACAATGTTCCACCCTTTAAGCAACTGGAACAGTCATACAGTTTTCACCCAGCTCATCTTTTCAAATAACTACAGCCATGTTTTTTTTAAAAATTCATTGATGGGATGTGGTTTCACTGACAAGGTCAGCATTTATTATCAATGCTAGGTAACCTGCCCAGTTTCATTTCTTTTCACTTAGCTGTTTCGATTCAACTGAAGGGGCTGTTAGTATATTTCAGAGGGCAGTTCAGAGTCAACTGCGCTGTGGGTCTGGTGTCACATGTATCCAGTCCAGGTAAGGATGGCAGTTTTCTTCCCTAAAGGGCATTAGTGAACCAGATGGGCTTACCCCCTGATAACTGGCAACAGTTTCAAGGTCACTCTGGTTAATTTCAAATTTTAAAATTGAATTTTTACTATCTGCAACAGCAGATATGTGAACTCAGATTCCCAGAACATGACCAGGGTTGCTCAATTAATAGTCTAGCAATAATACCACTAGGCTGTTGCATCTGCTATGTTACAACTTCCACCAGCTCAGTGATGAAGAGATATCTATTGGTTCAGTGTAAGGAGGTTTCTGCACAAGGAGCCAGTGGAACATCTCCATCTAGAGATGTCACCTACATCGGGTCTCCTCCCAGTCCAACACATTCCACATCTTCACTGAGAGAAGACACTGAAAACTATCACAATAATCACATCAGGACCATACACAATAAGGTCAACCAAAACTAAAGTGATTGATTTTGGAAGGTATTCCTTTTAATACGAGACAGATTATGGAGAAATGATGGCTAATTATGCTTCGCTGTATGCCAGAGGTGGGGTCACTGCTTCGTTTGGAAAAGAGATTGGGCATATTGGATACCTCTGGGACTAAACAAAATGTGTCAGCTCTGACAATTGATTTATGAAGGATTCTTTCAGCAAACAATGTCTAAAGTGGACAAACAGGGGGCTGGAAGAACACAGCAGGCCAGGCAGCATCTGGAGGAAAGGAACAGTCAACGTTTCGGGTATTACCCTTCTTCAGGACTGGATGTGGGGGTAGGGGGAGCTGTAGATAAAGAGGGGGGAGGGAAGGGGTGGTGATAGGTGGACACTGGTGGTAGGTACGACTTGGTTGGTTGATGGGAGGGATAAATCCAATTGGTGGCTGGAAGGGAGAGTCAGAGGTGGAATGGAAGGGAGGAGGCAGGGCCGGGTGGGGAGCCAGGGGATGGGTGGGAAGGTTATTTGAAATTGGAGAACTCAACGTTGAGTCCTCTGGGCTGTAGGTCTGAAGTGGCCAGGTACCATCTTGTGCCACATACTGCTGTATATCTGCACCAACTGTTCCATGGGGATGCTGCAGGATGAAGTTACATAAAATGTAGTATGAATTTATATAATCTGGGGAGCTTTGGACAGGCTTTCTTGCTTGTTTCCTAAAAGCAGAAGAACAGAAGAACAAAACAAATAGGAACAGTTGTAGACCATAAGGACCTGTTGCACCTGCTCTGCCTTTCCATAGAAACATGGTTGATTTTGTTCCTCATCTCCACTTTCTCACCGTTTCCCTATTTTCCTTTCTTCTCTGATGAACCGAAAATCTACTTCAGCCTTGAATATACTAAACAAGAGAGCATCCACAGTCCTCTAGGGTAGAGAGTTCACAACCCTCTGATGACATTGTGTAACAATGTCTTTCTAACCTCTGGATTCACCACATGGAGAAGACTGACCAACAGGACATCCCATACAGGGAGATTTCGACTGTAGTTAAGTTGAATGGTGAATCACAGACAACAGATGGGGTACAGAATGAAGAAGACTGTGAACATAGACAAACTGAAATAAACATTCATACGAACATCAATACATCAATATCACTATTATAATACAGCTAATGAACAGTCTCTCCTTTATGGAACAAAAGCCAGGAAGCCTGAGTGGGTCAATGAGCTTTACACTGAGTGCCAGTAACATTGTGCAGATACAGGATCAAATTAACAATGGCCTCCAAGCTTTTAATGATCGGTAGAGGGTAGGCCTCATCTCCCACAGATATTGCCTCACTATGCCATATGGTGCACAGAAAGCTTCCTGGTCGAATCATTTAAGTTGCCCGCACCTAACCTGAGTCAATGCTGTATTGCCATCTCTATGGTTGTCCCTGGCACAGTGGAGATTGGTTAGCTCAGTTGGCTGGCCAGCTGATTAGCAACACAGAACCACGTGAGCTGAGTTCCTGTACCAGTCAGGGTCACCACAAAAGTCCTGCTTTCACAACATTGCCCCTCATCTCAGGTGTGGTAACCCTCAGGTTAAACCAGCAGCAGTTATCTCTCTGTACTGGGGGAGCCGTCCTCTGGGACTATTGGTGACTTAACAGCTACTGCATAGACCAAGGGTCTTTACCTGAGACTAACATGAAAGGGGATTTGATCAAACCTTGCAGTTGGAGGTGATGGCACGTAATAAATTTATCATTTGCATTTTATTGGTTAATATCTGAGTATTTTATTGTAAATTTTTAACAAGTTTGTTAATTGTCCACGTGACTGCACACAAAGACATTAAAACAAGGATACATTAAGGCAGAAGACACAAATTAGAAACGCACAGTTTCTGATCACAAAGAAAGAGACAATCATCTGATGGTTTGTACATTTACACTCTATTCCAGAAAATAGCCACAACACCTAATTACTGTAGATATAGGAATAATAAAATCCTCAGGACACTTTTCCAATTGTATATGATTTCCAAATTGTACACTTTGTGGTCACTATTCTTATGATCTAGTGTCTGGATCACCCATAAAAGCTCATTATCGATGTTTGTAGAATTACTTCTAGGTATATGTTGTTTTGTTTTGAATCCAAAGTTGCCACAACAGTGAGATCATTTGGTGACATCCTGTTCACAGTTTAGATTTGGAATGGATAGGTTGACATCTTATTTCCATTGCACACTCCTGAACCAGTTGGGCGGCTTCCTTCGCAGTTCCCCAGTGAAAGGTAACCCCAGCTCCCCCATGACCGTAATTATGCACCAAGTACATCTGTCTGCCGTCACATTCCAGCTTCTCCTTTTCCAGCCTCAGCACGGCTCTAACGGGCCTCAGACCAACTCCTTCAAATAACTTACAAGAGCGCGTGAGACTCGGTTCTAAAGCACAGCACCTGCTGAAAATTCTCTCGCTGTCTGACGGGTCAACTGACATCTGCCAATTGTTTTGCTGCCTAGTTCCACCCAAAGTAACACTGGAGATTCCTGGGTAGATATAAGAGGTGCCATCACCAACACGGACAAAGTGTTTGAGCCAGGGAGCATGAACCTTCTGGATCTGGCCCCTTACTGGATAAATGTTCATGTCCCCAGTAAGGGCCCTGGCTCCAATACCTGAACAGTTCACAATGATCTCGTACTTCCCATCAAGTTCCCAGAAATTTGTGATCTTCCCAGTCTGGAACTGGCCGCCTGCATTCTTTAACCTGGAATTAACAATCGGAACTTCATCAATACACTGTGTTTACAAAGATAATTCCACAGTTGATGATAATCAATAGGTTCATTGGATAAAAAAGGGAAGTACAGGGTTTTTCTGCTTGGCCTTTAAGACATTCCTGGGACCACACTGCGTGTGACGTAACGAACAGAGATTTGAGCATCTTTCCCCTTGACTTCCTTTGCCATCACAATCTTTCTTCCTTCATCCAGTGGACCCCTCCCAGTGACTGATAGTCCCCTGGACCATCCCTTCCTGCTATTCTGCTGTCAGCTACGTTGTGTAATCAGGTAAAGGTGAGAGCAGGAACCCGTAACAGTAGGTAAGCACAGTCAGGAGATGATCCTCTAATGAGCTAAGTATATCAAAACCTAAAAGGGATCAAAAGTCAGTCAAATCCAGGCATTCAAAGTTAGAAATTTCAAATCTGTCTTAGGTATTTTCAAGGGTACAGTGGCAATTTCTGGAAATGATCCCAGGACTCACTGCCAATGCTGTCCCTGTACTGCTGAATTTCTCACGATTACACTAGCATACCCTGAGGTTTTAACAGAAGTACTTGCTAATGATCTGAACTGCAGATCACAGATGCCTTCATGTCTGCTTCTCTAATCCTTTTAAAGGCAAACTAAAATAGCTTAGTGAGACACAGGAGATAAAAAGAAACAGTAAGTAATTTAATTTTACAGACAGTTGGTGAACGCATTGAGTAACAAATGTAATCATACTGATTCAATCATCAACTTTCCACCAGTAAAGGAAAAATAATCGAGACTGTGTTCTCCCTATTTGTCCATTTTTGTTCACTGTTCATGGTTAGTTTTCTAACCGTGCTGGCTTCAGACATGAGGTTGTTCAGAATTCCCACAGCTTGCCTCAGCTGCCTATAATACTCAACTGACTGACTGACTGCCTCCACATCTGTCGCTTTGTTCTTTATCTCTCTGAGTTTCTCCCATGCTCTCTATTTCCTTACACATTCAGTGTTTCACCTGTCAACACATCTTGCTTTTTCTCTTCAGCAATAGTAGGAACTGCAGATGCTGGAGAATCTGAGACAACAAGGTGCAGAGCTGGATGAACACAGCAGGCCAAGCAGCATCAGAGGAGCAGGAAGGCTGACGTTTCGGGCCTAGACCCTTCATCAGAAATGGGGGAGGGGAAGGGGGTTCTGAAATAAATAGGGAGAGAGGAGGAGGCGGATAGAAGATGGATAGAGGAGAAGATGGGTAGAGAGGAAACAGACAGGTCAAAGAGGCGGGGATGGAGCCAGTAAAGGTGAGTGTAGGTGGGGAGGTAGGGAGGAGATAGGTCAGTCCAGGGAGGACGGACATGTCAAGGGGGTGGGATGAGGTTAGTAGGTAGGAGATGGGGGTGCTGCTTGAGGTGGGAGGAGGGGATAGGTGGGAGGCGAGACAGTTGCAGTGGGAGAGAGATCCCCTGAGGTTTGTCCGGAGGGAGGAGGGTAACTTCTTCAGGCTAGGCATTCTTGGAAGAGGCTTCGCAGTGGGGTTAAAATTGTATCAGAGATAGTAGGAACTGCAGATGCTGGAGGATCTGAGACAACAAGGTGCAGATCTGGATGAACACATCAGGCCTGTCTTCTCCTCTATCCATCTTCTATCCGCCTCCCCATCTCTCCCTATTTATTTCAGAAACCCTTTCCCCTCCCCCATTTCTGATGAAGAGTCTAGGCCCGAAACGTCAGCCTTCCTGCTCCTATGATGCTGCTTGGCCTCCTGTGTTCATCCAGCTCTGCACTTTTTGTCTCAGATTCTCCAGCATCTGCAGTTCCTACTATCTCTGATTCAATTTTAACCCCACTGCGAAGCCTCTTCTAAGGATGCCTAGCCTGAAGAAGTTACCCTCCTCCCTCCAGACAAACCTCAGAGGATCTCTCTCCCACTGCAACTCTCTCGCCTCCCACCTATCCCCGCCTCCCACCTCAAGCCGCACCCCCATCTCCTACCTACTAACCTCATCCTGCCCCCTTGGCCTGTCCATCCTTCCTGGACTGACCTATCTCCTCCCTAACTCCCCACCTACACTCACCTTTACTGGCTCCATCCCCACCTCTTCGACCTGTCTGTTTCCTCTCCACCTATCTTCTCCTCTATCCCTCTTCTATCCGCCTCCCCCTCTCTCCCTATTCATTTCAGAACCCCCTTCCCCTCCCCCATTTCTGATGAAGGGTCTAGGCCCGAAACGTCAGCCTTTCTGCTCCTATGATGCTGCTTGGCCTGCTGTGTTCATCCAGCTCTGCACCTTGTTGTCTCTTGCTTTTTCTCTTGTTTCTTTGTGTGTTTAAAGAATGCAAGCCTGTTTTTTATTCTCCCCCTCCTCACTTAAAGATGACACAGCCCATTCTTATTATCTCAGTTTGATGTAAGCTTGAGAGCTGTGACATTCACAGAACTGGTTTGTCTGCTTTTACTCCACATTTATAACTCCTGGCCTGTTAACCCTTGGAGTGGGTAGTGTCAGTTTTTTAAACCCGTGCAAAGTCATTCTGTTTGTAAACACAACATTTTACTGCAATTCATAATCTGAAACCCTTTTTTGTGAAGATAAACAACAAAAGATCAGACATTGTATAATATCGTAATGGGCCCATACTGCGTTGCAACTTGGACCTGTAAATAATTGCAAGCGTACACAATAGAAATAACAAATGGAAACTGTGAATGTTAGAGACCCGAAAAAAAATCAAAATGTTGGAAACTCACAATTTGATCAATAAGAATCGGAGGAGAGGGAAGACAAAATGAATGTCCCTGCTTTACACTTCTTTCAAACTCGAGAAATGAACCAATCTTCAGAACAAAGCAATTGAAAAAAACCTGACAATAAATGGTGAGAGGTGTTGAGTCATCTAGACTCGAAACGTTAGCTTGCTCTCTCTCCATGGATGCTGCCTGACCCGCTGTGATCTCTTTTGTATTGTAGGTGTAATGTAACAAGCTACTAAGTAGTATGTAATAAACCTATTCACTATTGATGAAGATTGAGCCTGTCTTCTGTTGAAGACATTGTGTGAGGATCCTTCCCCACATGGTATCAGGAGCTGAGACGAACTCCATGCAAAATGACTGATGGTAGCAAATCATTCAAGGTATCCCAGATGATCATGGCAGAAAGCAACATGGAAAAGAGGAAGAGATATTGGAAAAGGTGACCTTTTGAGTGTTTAAAGCAAAATCAGGGGATTGAATAGGTGACTAAGACCATCAGAAAGGTAAAATGCTACAAAGAAAAATAAAACGTGAAAGACAACCCAAGGAAGAAAAGAAAAACACGTAGAAGTCATTAAAAATACAAAAATTTCCAGATATGAGATATGAAGCCAAAACAAAAAAATCTTGGTAAAATATCATGGCACCTGTTAGATTCAAAGTCATAAAAACCAAGTTGACAGCAAGTGTCTAGATCAACCCCGTCAGGGTAGTCACTCTAAGATCACCTTCCCTTCCCATCCACAACATTAGCAGGGCCAGGTGAAACAAAATGGCCACCATAGCAAAGGTAATCCATTACCGACACTACTCACATATGTGGCTTGGCCCAAAAGAAAGAGCTTCCATTTATTTAGCACCTTTCACAGCCTTATGACATCCTAAAGTGTTTCACAACTAACCAAGTATTTTTGAAATGTAGTCACGATAGTACTATAGGAAAGGTGGCAGCCAATTTGTACACAGCACGATGCCATAAGCAGCAATGAAACAATCTGGTTTTGCAATGCTAACTCAAGAGACAAACGTTGGCCAGGACAATACAAGAACTCTCTTCCCTTTCTGCAACTAATGCCATGAGATTACTTATGTCCAATGCAAGGGGAAAATGGGAACTCAGTCTAACGTCTCATCTAGAAGACAACAAACTTAATAGGATTGCATTGGAATACCATCCAGCGATGATGTGCTCAAGTTTCTGGAATTGAACCTAAAAATCTTTTGCAGTTAGAAAGAAAGAGACTAGGAAATAAAGTCAGGACTGACAGACAGAAAGTAAATAAAGAGTTTAGAAGGCAAGAATGCACAGCAAAAGAGGAAAGAGAAAAAGTATAAGGAAGAATCTGGAGACATGTCATAAAATTCATCTACTTACTGCTTCCATATTACAGGAGGTTGAATAATTCCATATTAAAACTGCAAGTGGGTCTCAGAATGCTTTTTTAAAAGGTATTTTAATGCCATTAGTTAGGTGGTTTTAAGACCTTTACTCTATTCCAGTTAGCTGTCAGAGTTACCTTGGTGGGCAATGGTTATGGGATAGGAACTTTCAAGGATATTTTATATTGGTAACACTAACACAGCCTGGGTATTCCTCGCCTATTCAGAGGTGAAGTAATCTTCAATGTGTTGGAAGACATTTACTATCAATGAATACTTCCTGAAATGATTTAATTAATATTTGGTTGTCAAGTTAACATCTTTCCGTTTGGTATTTATGAAGATTTATAGCCTCTGGGAAAGATTTACAGAACAGGCACAGGTCTTTCAGTCCATCTTGTTTGTTCCTGCTAGAAAAGGTTAATCCCATTTTCCAAGGCCTACATTTTCCCCATGATAACCACGACTCTCTTGCTATGGTGACGATAGAGGAAGCAACCCAAAATCACAAGATCTGCCCCCACCTCCTGAACATGGCATTTCCCATTCACATGAGAATGGGAGTAGGGTCAGGGTGGGACAGCTACAGTTAGGGAAGGGGAGGGGGCTATAATCTCCATTTCCTTGTGTTCTAAACCTTGGCCATTGGAGGAAAGTATCCCATACACCTTCTTAATCACGTTATCTATTTCTTCTCCTAACTTTAGTAAACTATGATCACACATTCCTAAGTTGTGTAATCCTTTTCAATTCTCATCAAACTAGTATTTGTTGCATGTTCTCAGGCCTAGGGATGTTCCCACTCCATTTTTTAATTAAATGCAAATCTACTTCTGGGTGTTATTAACAAACTATTTGGCCTCGTGATGGATCA